AATAAAGATTGGTGGCGACTCCCTCTTTTTTTTATTTTTCTCAATTTTAAAACAACTCGTTTTTATGTCTGGCGGTCTCAAAATTGTTACGACAACAACAATCCTTAAAATGAAATAACGCTCTTTATAGAAAATTGTTGGTGACTCTCCAACATCTAGGCAGAGTACCAAGAATTATTTTTTGGAATATTTTTTTATTTTATTTTGTAATATCACAAAAAGATTTTTTTTTAGTATTATTTTTTTTATTATAAGATATTTTATCACTAAGTAGTAAATAAAAAATTAAAGACAGAATAGTACAAGTAAATACTGATAATAACATGCTAACGTATATCATGCTAATGAATGTCATGTAAAATGAGATGCAATTTAAGAGTTGAATTTTTAAATATAATGAGACCACCCCGACTCTCTAACATCTAGGCAGAGCTTAGGTGCGACTGTTTATATTTAAGATCCCAATTTACCGTTATCCTTTTTTTTTTATTGATCTTATCATTAATGCGATTTAAAAAATCGTGTGAAAAGACTTCACGAAGTAAAATTTCCTAAATACCTCATTATCTAGGCGGTATTCGAGAACAAATTGCTTCAAATAGAATTTTCATACGTGTCCTTAGGATTTTTTAGGACTTTGGATTTCGAGGATTTTGGACTTTTGGGGGTTTTGGATTTTAGGGATTTTGAATTTTATGGGGTTTGGATTTAAGGGATTTTGGATTTTTAGGAGTTTTAGAAACCTATGATTTTGAAAATTAAGAATTAGTGTTAAGGTTTCGTTTTTAAGAAAATATGAACATCTCTAAAAATTCCAAATCTAGGCGGATTTTCAAAGCAAGTGTCGATTTAGTTGATTTTTGAAATTAATTTAAAATTTTTCATATTTAGTTTTTTATGAAATTTTATTAATAATAATTCCCCAACATCTAGGCGGAAATTATTTCTTTTTAAAAAAATATCTTTTATTCCATCCAACATTTTAGGTAGGGAAAATTAATAAAAATATTTTTGTTGAGCATTGTAAGATATTTTAATTATTATTTTTTCAATTATTTTATTAAAAATAATTAAACATTTATTCTAACTAAATTTATCATGCATTAAATATAAAAAATAAACAAAAATAATAATATAAAAAATTCAAAAAATCAAAAAAAATTTTTTTACTTGAACCGGACCGGTCAACGGTCCGATCAACGCTGATCTGGGCGATCTGACCGGTTCGACGGTTGGATCTACGGTTCGGGCGATCCGACCGGTTCGACAATCGGATCGACGGTTCGGGCCGGTTTGATTGAACCGACAGAGCTGTTGGAGGAAACGGGTCAACGGGTCGTTGCACGGATCCCGGGTCGGGTCACGGGCGCGCGGATCCTCCCTAGTTGAAACGGCGTCGTTTTGGCCCTATGCCCAAAACGACGTCGTTTTGCTTTTAATGTTTTCTATAAATAACTTGAAATTTTTTTTTTGTTCATTTGGTTTTGTTTCCAGAAAAAAAACGAGAGAGAAAGAGGGCTCTGGGGGGAGGGGTCCGACCGTCGCCGTTCGATCACCGGACCACCGCGTCGGCCGCCTCTTGGGTCACCGCCGGCGGTGTCGTCGGTGATCGAAAATTTTAAAAAATGATCAGGAAGCTGCTTTCGACGCGATCTTTCCAAATTCGAAGTCGATTTTACCAGAAACAGCCCCGATCAACGTAGATCGGGGCTTGAAGCTTTCGGTTTCTTTTCCTTCTCTTTTTTTTTTGGCGAAACTGATGATTTCTTTGCTTTTTCAGGGAGCTTGGCTCTGAGGTTCCTCCCTGCGGGGAGGACTGTGTTTGTTTTTTCGTTTCTGTTTTTCTTCTTGTTTTTTTTTTTCGGTTGGTGTGGTTTCTGTTTGGGTATTTTGGGTGTTTGGGAGTGTTTTGAGGGAGGTTTCGCAGAGGTTGAAGGGGATTTTCTTTTAGGGAAATTGAAGGGAATTCTTAGAAAGCTTCCTCTTTTCTGTTAGAGAGCCCAGAGACCCCTTAATGAGGAAGATGGCTGGAGATTTTAAAGGGTTTTTATTTAGGGAAATCTAGGTGGCTATAGGGTGGCTGTAAGTAGACTGAGAGAGCTGGTCAGGGGGTTGGTTGGGTTGGTGGGGGAGTTGGTTGGGTGGTTGACAGGGAGTTGGTCGCGGAGTTGGTCAGGGCAGTTCGACGCCGTACCAACCCCTTGACTTCTGTCTTATTTCTGTTTTATTTTTTTGTTTGTTTTGTTTTTTTTTTGTTTTTTTGTTAAATATTATTATTATTATTATAAAAATAAAACAGTAGACCCGGACAAAATCGGTGTCTACAATAGGTATTATAGGTACAGATATACAACATTTTCAAATGAATTGGTGGCTGTCCACGTCAATCTGCATGAATGTGATATTGATAGTAAGTAATTCTTTTGTAGAACAGTCCAATTTAGCCAAAAGAAAGCTGAATTATAGAACAATCTGGTTAGATTAAACTGATAATCATCTCTCAAGTAGTAAAAAATTTTGACATTCATTTAATTTTTTTTGAGCCAACAACAGTGTACTTCGAGGTATATTCATGTGATTTTGGTGCTGTTGAAAGGAATTTGATGTTGTATCTAATGTATATAGTTTGACCTATACTTTTTCCAACCCAATACATTGCTTGTACATTTGTAAGTATAATTATGCTTCTTCTAATGTATGATGTACAAATATGAGTATTTGATTTAATGATAAGTGTTTACCTCTCCCTATTAGAAGAACTGGATTTGAATTATTTTAAAAATATATATGTATGTGTGTAAAAGGACAAGTCTTGGAGCAATGGTAAGGATGTTCCTTTGAGATCGAAAGTTTTGGAAATAGTCTCTCTATAAAAAATGTAAAGGAAAAGTTGCGTACTATGGATCCTCACCCTAACCCTCGTAAAATGGGAAGTCTTATATCACAGGGTTTGTCTTTTTTATATATGTATATTTGTAAATGCAATTAATAAGATGAATTTTGGATGAATGATACAAATGATAGTTAGATTTTTTCTTAAATTAGAGTGATCATAATATAATAATACCATTTCAAATAGTCTGGAAGAGATTATAAGAAAATAATTTATAATTTAAATAAAGGTATAAATATTTAAAATAACATTAAATGGATATTTTAATTATATAAAGTTTTAAATCTAACATAAGAGGCAAGAGGAAGTAAAAAAAGGGTGTAGATGGAAAAATTAATTTTTGACCATTTCCTTCTTAAGAGAGAAATAATGAGTATATTACTTATAATTATTGTAATACAATTAATTAATTAAAATTTAGTTTTTGAAGAATTTATGAAAAAATTATATAGAGCTCACATTTTTAAATGATAAACCTTTACATAATTTTTTTGTTTTGATTGATTAATTATAAAATTGTAGTAAAAAAAATTGTAAATGAAATACTTTTGAAAATAATAAAGGAGAAAGAAAATGAGTGGATTATATATTTTCTTGGTGTATTTTCTTAATATAAGATAAAAATACTTATTAAACTTAAATTAATAACTTTATTTATAACTTTACTCTTAATATCTTTTTTTTCTTTTTTTTTATATTTCATACTAAACATAATAATTTTTTTTCTTTCCTCTTATTTTTCACATTTTTTTTTCATTCCTTCCTTTTTCTTTCCTACCAAATACATAATATTCTTTAAGTTTTGAGAAAAATAAAATAAATTCAATCTCTAATTCAAGATTTCATTTGTTTCGGTGAAAAGTAATTTTCAAAAATAATTTTTGTGAATTTGTGTTTGAACAAAAAAAAATTGAAGTCAACAGAAATTAATTTTTGATCAAAAGGCAAATAATGCTAAATTTTTAGCAAATTGTCTTCTAAATTTTTAGTCCAAAAGATAATTTTACCGTCATAATATTATTATTATTATTATTATATTATTTTGCCAAATCCTTCTTACCTTTGAACTCCCTAAGACCGTCCTACAAACCCAACGAACAGACTCAACCAACTCCAATGGCCGCCACTGAAGCAACCAGTGGCAACTTCTCTCCTCCACACCTTCTTTGCAGTCACTAAGAAGTCAAAGATGAGATCAAAATCCAACAAAATCTAAATCAAAATGAGGCAACAATGAAAGCAAAATAAGTAATAGATTCGATGATTTGTATATTAATATAGTATAAATTATTAAAATTTATATATTTATATTATATTTTATATAAAAAATTATATATTATAATTTATATCAATATAAAAATATAAAATATATTTTTTAATTTTATTAAATTTATATATAATTATTATATAAAATTTAAATCATATCATTTTTTATATTTTTTATTCGTATTATGTTTATATTATATTATCATATTTTAAATTATTAAATATAATAAATTATAAATTATAAACATCTCACCGAATAGAACATCTTAGACACATGTATCATACGAAGAACACCTCCCATCATTTGTTCTTTCGATGCTACGTTTACATTATAGCTAGTTTAAAAAAGAAAAAAAACCTCACGAGCCCCATAAAAGACTCTCTACAAGCTTTTTCCATTTTAATCAAACTATGGCAAAGGCATATTTGAAGAAGAAACGTGCTTCAGTTGTTGAGCACGATTTGGAAAAGAAATGGGTTTGATGTATTTTCAAGATTTTGGTTAATTTGGATTTAAGATCATGATACCATGATAAATTTTGTAAAGAGAAGTTGGAGGATTGTGAAAAGAAGAAAATATGAATTGTTTTTCATTGGAACAAACACCACAAATTAATTTCCTTTACACCATCCAAATAATAAAAAATAATTTATTTTCTGAGAAATCTCTTCGAAGAAAAATTTTGATTTTTCGAAATTGTTTTCGGTTTAGCACACGAAACTCAGTTAAAAGAGAAAACAAAAATCAAATAACCATTAAAATAACTTAATAAAAAAATAAAATTTAAATTATTTTATCTTCATCAAATAGAAAAACACACGTAATCTCAACCGTTGATAAACATAGCCCCAAATTTTCGAACCGTCCGATCTAGGGCTTCTATCCAAAATAATCCCTATTTATACTTTCTGTTATCCGATTCAATTTCCTTTGGCCTCCTGCTCTCCGCTCTGTCTCTATCTCGTCATCCCAAAAACAGAGCAGAGAAAATAAAACCCAAAGCTTTAAAACCTCAAAAAAATGGTTCAAAGGCTCACTTATCGGACTCGCCATAGCTACGCTACCAAATCGAACCAACACCGTGTCGTTAAGACCCCCGGTGAGTCTTGAAGTTTTTAAACGATGCCGCTTTTGGTGCTCTGTTGCTTTTACAATAAAAATAATGCTTTTTTCCCTCTTTTTTTGCAGGTGGGAAATTGGTTTATCAGACTACTAAGAAGAGAGCTAGTGGCCCTAAGTGTCCTGTTACTGGAAAGAGAATTCAGGGTGTAAGTTCTTTTCTTTTCTTTCTTTTTGTTGTTTGGTTAAAGTTGGATTCTTGGGTTGGAATTTTGAGTTTTTGTTGTTAGTTGGATCGAATAACTATATGAACTGAATATACCCTTTTGTGTTTATGTTATTAAGAAAATGATGATTTGATAATAAAAATATTACTTTTCTCTGTTTATATTCATTGTTTTATGTGGCTTAATGAATTTTATGTTCCGAATTAAGCATAGATTTTAAAACTGTTTAGATTAGCATTATATCATAGTTTTAAGATCTAAGAGTTATAAAATGTGAAATAATGATCGTTAGCTATTTTCAATATTTCTACTTTTATTTGAAGCTAGTGCAATGCTGATAGTTTAGTATGCAAAGTATTCGCTTTGGACAGTTTTATATCCTATAATAAGAATGTGTTCATCTGAAAATTTAGGGACGGATGATATCTTTCAGTCGTCTAAATCTGATGATTTTTGACATGACATGAAAATATATGAAAAAATGAAAGTGATAGGATATAAAATTAACAAAAATCATATATAGGTTTGGTAAAAATAAAAAAAAATGTGTATCTTGTTTGGTGTGTGAATGCAAATTGTGACAACAGAATTTTCGTGTTATACTCGTCTTTCACATGAACCAAGCACAACACAATACGGATGCATGAATTTTCAGGTCCATCCCTAAGGTTGCATATTCATATATGGTGGAAATTTACAACTGTGGCACTTTATGGTAGCATATTAAGTGGAAATGTAAAACCTTTTTGGCCAATGTAGAGAGTATGGTATTTTTTATGATCTATCATTTTATGTTGCTTGTTTAAGTAGTCTGTTTTGGTTTTTATAGAACATGAGGTTGATCGGAATCATTGTGAAGCTTTTGAGCTTGCTCATGTTTTTCTGGTATCACTTCTTTGCAGATTCCTCACTTGAGACCTGCTGAGTACAAGAGGTCTAGATTGCCTAGGAACCGCAGGACTGTGAATCGTGCCTATGGTGGTGTTTTGTCTGGAAGTGCTGTTAGAGAGAGGTACAATTATGTGCATTATTTAATAGCTGTTAAATGGTTTTTGATGCTCCTTTTTTTCTTTGTTCGTAATGATTGATGCAAATCTTATTATTCTGTTTCTGCCTTTTATCTTTCTAAGGATAATTCGAGCCTTCTTGGTGGAAGAGCAAAAAATTGTGAAGAAGGTTCTGAAAATCCAGAAGGCAAAGGAAAAGCAAACCTCAAAGAGCTAGGATGCGATGAAGCTGAATTATTTGGCTTGTTCGATCCACCTGAGAGAAATTTGGGTTGTTATTGCGGTGATGATGAAATGTAGAACTGAATTTCAATATTTTCCTTCTAGTTTGTTCAAAATTGATTAGTTTGCTGCTTGTTCATTTGACGACAATTCAATTGCCAAGTTATTGTTTTAATGATGGTTTATTATTTTGAGTTGGCTTCTGTTATTAAGCCTTAATTTTTTTTTCCATTTTTCCTTATTATGTTTAAAGATGGCTGTTCAAAATATTTCTAAAATCTTCAGCAGGATTAATATGGTTTATTGGAGATTGTTGAAAGTTGTTCATACCAAGGGGAATGGTGAAGCTGTTTGTTAAATGAAGGTAAAGAAATAAGGAAGTGGGAGAAGAAGACATGGAAACAAATAAGAGCAAATATTCAGCCTGTGATGTATGGTTGTAATATGTGAAATCTGTACAATAATACTGTGAATAGGTGTGCTGCAAATACTAGCTACAACTCAAGAATCCAAAATTAGTAGACATCTATTTCAAGTATAGCATCTGTCAGTTGAATTAGTGGACATCTCGCTCGGACGTTGAGGTGAATCCCATGGTAGATTAGGCTTCCATGAATCAGGCACACTTGGAGAGAAGCTGAAAGGAAATCCCATTGATCGGATGGTCCCCCAATGGTTATGCTCAGGGTTTGCATTCGAGTTCTTCCTCGCTTCCTCCTCACTTTCTCCTACATCTGTATTGCCTTGCATATTTTGGGGCAAGTTGATTGAGAAGCCATTGTATTGCTGTTGTTGCCCTCCAAAATCTATACTCTCGGAGGCCTTACTAACATCGGTGATCATGATTGGGCTTAATAGCATGGAGGAAGCATCAACTGTACACTTGAGGGATCCAGAAATGTCAAGCTGAGGGAGCAGGAAGTTGTTGTAAAGGTCTCCGTTGGAAACGGGAAATGGAGATGGCCTATACACTGTAGGATTGGATGATTTATAAGAGGGAATATCTAGAGCAGAAAAACTAGCAGTGGAGCCTTGTTGGAGTTCAATGTTGCTGCATAACTGTATCGCTGATCCGATTTCCGTTGTGCAAGAAATATTTTCTGAGCTAAACTGAGTGCAAGGTGCACCTTGGTGGATTATATCAGATGCTGTAGTCTCAGGTAATGAGGATATCCAAGAGTGAGAAAGAGCTCTTTGAACCATGGAATTGGTCTTTTTGAATATCCTACAAATAGCCCATGCATCCTGTGGAACAAGGGCAAATTAAAGAAACTCATAATTTTAGACAGTTCCTGATTAAACAAAACATTGGACAATTAATTCAAGGATCATTACATTTGCGGGAAGGCTTTTGTCTAAGAGCTTCTTTGGTGGTGTTGAGTCCGAGAGTGAAGGTAGCCGAAATTCATGCATCATCCAGTCTGTTTTAATCCCTTTGGCAGCTCTGCCTCTGTAGAACACTAGGGACTTCTTCAAACCAATACACTTGGTGCCATCAGAAGAGTAAATAGGCCTGTCTGTTCCAGTCGCCTTCCAAAACCCGGCTCCTGTGACTCTGTTAGGCCTTGCACTGTTTCTATATTTACGGTCTCTTGGGCAGTAGAAATACCACTCTTTCTCACCTGAAGCTGCTAGCTCTACTCATAGAAAAATGGAAAAAAAAAAAAAATCAAGGTACTCGATATTTTTTCCTTAGAGTTAGAGGGACCAAGATAAGTAGTTCAGCAAAGATAATTAAAGATTATTCTTAAATGTTCTCTCTGAACATTAGAGAGAAAGATGAGAGCATAATAATACAGACAAAGTAACAGACAATTTTGACACTGGACAGCATTGATGTTGAAACTTTTGTGAGCTTATGTCTACTTTAGGCGTAAATAAACAGAATATTTGATGAATAGTTCATAAATAAATTCAGTTTTTGTTCATTTATATTCATTTGTTTTGTATAACAAATGACTACAAACAACATTCCGGAGTTAATTAATTAAACAAACAGATTATGAATATAATAAAATTCATTCATGTCTGATTATTATACACTCAAAGTGTAACAGACAGCATTCGATGAACAATTCGTGTACAAACTCAGTATTTGTTTGTTTATTAAACTTAATAAACAATTATGAATAATATTCAGAATTCGTTAATTTAACAAATAGATCACAAATATAACAAAATTTGTTTAGGTGTAGCTTGTTTACACCCTTACTTATTCCCGCATAAGAGAACCAGCCAAACATGGAAAGGTATCTAATTTATGAACATCTTACCTGATAATATTAAACAATACTATTCTACCACTAAGAAATGAAAAGAAAGTTCTTATGTTTCTTGGAAGCCAAACAAAAGGTGTATATACTTTATTTGGGTGAAGTGAATCACCATAGAAGGAAAGTAAAGCCAAATTCTGACCAAGTATTCATACAAGAGAGTATGGAAATGATGAAAACTCACTTGGAAGATCCCAGGGTTCATGCTTATATATGTCAACTTGCTTAATCAGCTCAATCGGCAAAGGTCTCTGCTGGATCTTTCTCTTGAGGTAAAATCCGACAAGCTCCTCATCTGTTGGATGAAATCGAAAACCAGGCAACATCACATCTTCAACCTTATCAACATCATTCTTCTCATCCATGTTACTCTTACTCTTTTCCAAAGACTGTAAAGAGGCAACAAGTTGATGATATAATTTCTACAAACTGAATATATTAGGCGATGACCTAATCTATTGATGCAACTGTTGGAACTTAAGCTCTGAAGCGGTTGTGGGACATGAACTCGAAGAGAGAACCAAGATTACTGTACTAGTTTAGTTCACTTGTTTCAAAGCCATTATATGCTCCCTGAGAAGGGTTCTGTCTCCGGAGCTTAGGCCGCCCTTTCAGGGAGAGCTTGTTTCTGCGAAAATCACGATGACTTTGGTAAGAAGTTGAGCCAAGCTGAGCTCTCTTTAAAGAATGGATTTTCTAGCAAATTCAAGTCAAGGCAGTGAGAATTTTAATCGAATTGAACTCCCTTTCATTCTCAACCCCATATGATGCTTTTTCAATCCAATTTAATTATCTGAATATGACTACAGATTCAGCTGTTTTTTGCGTTTTCAACACCAAATTGTTTTATTGGCCAAAAAAAACGGCAAATTGTTTTCACGCACTCTTCAGCTTCAATTTATCATAAAAAAAAAATCAAAGACAAGATGACAAAGCAACCTTCAGTATCATAAATTAATCTTTGGTTGAATAGTTTTTTGTTACCTATACACAAGGCTGAACCAACTAACACAATATGTTCAAATTTATATTCAAATTAATCCATGAGATTCTCTGAGAAATCCTCTGTGACCCCTTTTGAGGAAAAATATTAATTCCAATACACTTGATCCAAAAACTACCCTTTCTGTTCGTTTCCTCATCCCCTGTCGCACATGAAAATGTCACCTGCCATATAATGCCAATAATGTACACACCTGACCCCTCTTGAAAACACATCATTCTAAATATTTGGCCTTGGACTATGGACAGAACATCCCCTACATACCTCATTTTCAGGGAGTAAAGTCTTTCTTTTTTTTTTTTTTCTTTTTTTTTTTTTTAAGAATGAGAGATTTCGGTTAAGTTAATTCATACAATTATCTCTAAGATGTGACATTCAACAAATCGTTCAAATTTTAATACTTATAATCTCTTTCTGAAGTTGCAATCCTCCGTGTACAAAAAATCTAAATATTTGATTAAAAGATATATATATATTTGTCAGCGAATTAAATACTTAGAATCATTAAGAATTTATTTATTAACCCATAGAAGGGATTTACCATAGTTCTAAGCATTTGTACATACAATTATGATTGTATTTACTTGATCAAAGTCATAAGAAAAATGTATATCATGTGCTAATAATGATAATGGGAGGCTAAGAGTACTGTACTTAATTTAAAGTAAATGTCTTCCTGTTTAAGCTTTATATATATATATATATATATATATATATATATTGAAGCTTAAAGATAAAAGAAGAATTACAAGTATTGAATTTAAATTTTAAATTTATTGATGTTATATTTTAAAAATAAGTATATAAATTAATTGAGCTAAATTTTAATATCTCGTGCTTAAATTTAACCAATATTGGCTGCCAGAGAGATAGACTGATACAACATTTAATAAATAGGTGAAGATCCTTTGGTCAAATGGTCAAATAGGAAGTCCAAATTAGTTAAATCCCCCAAACATTGGCCTCGTTGAGAAGCCTTCGTGTCTGTTCCTTAACCTTGGTTTGCCACCCATTGCCGGCACAACGGGTCAAAATCTTTCAATCTAAGCTTCCATGCACTCTCTTTATACGTGAAAATTAATCTCATAAAGATAATCATGTTCCCAATGTGGAAAACCCACATGAAAGTCATTCTCTAATACCAATATTCTATAATTAGGCCACTCTAATTTTCTAATAACGTTTTTGAACTATTTTATTTTACTTAATTTATTAAACTATTTTGGAAAAAATATATATTATAATTATTAATAAATTATATTACTCATTTAAATTGCATTGCTCAATGGTACACATACATCATCATACTTAAGAGTAGAATTCCACAATTTAGAAATAAAATCCCTCATAAAAGCTATATATTTGTTTAAGAAGTAATAAAAGGAATCTTTAACGACTAAATTTTTAATTCAATTAATTTATATAATCATTTTTAAAAAATAAGTATTATTAATTTTAAAGTTAAAATATTAATACTTATAATTTTTTTTTAATTTTTAAATTATGACTCCTAATGTTTTATTTTTGTTTTTGGGATCAGTCACGTACACAAAACAAAATAACCGGCAATTGAAGATTAAATTTGATTGTCAAACGAAAATATTTTTAATAGAAAAAAAATCATGTTGTTAAAGTAGGGGTCAATAATAGCCTAAATAAGTTAATAAAATACATAAATAACCAAATTGTAATTGTTTAAGCTATTACTCCTACTTTATAGCTAGCCGCATGCCATCAAATTGCTCAATCATGCAAGGGGCCGAACTTTGATAGAAGCTTGAGGATAATCACTTTGTCTTATTATGAATATTTTTATAATCCCATAGTTGCAATAACTTGATTGCTTTCTTGTAAAGTTAAAACTCAAATCTTATCTTCTTTTTATTGTTAATTCAAAGCTACTAAACATCATTTGAATTAAAACTTGAGTGGTACCTAATTTAGAATTGTAATACTCTTTGCATAATAAAAAAAGAAAAAATTAACCCATGTAGTTTAATTAATTAGTTAGTTAGTTGTCTTTGACAACAAAAACTCTTGATATCAATTTTTTTTGTGCCTAATTGTTTGAATTTTTTCTATGTTTAAAATTCTTAAAATTTAAATTTAAATTATTAAATTTAAAAGTTTTAAGATTTTATTAATATATTGCGTAGTTATTGGTCTGATTAACTAAAATTAAAATGCTGTTAACTTTTATATTCTAAAAATCCAACTAAAAGGAAAATGTCACTATGATTGTGAAGTTTAAGATTCCAACAAGATTGTTTCAAGAGTGGAAACAAAAAGGAAAAGACAACACAAAATCAAAATTGCACAAATATATTTAAATTATGTAGGTTGTCTTTGAAGTCTAGACCCATTTGGGCTACAAGGGATGAACGAGATGATTAACAAAATTATCGTATTAATTTAAGATCAATAAATGCATTAAATTAATCAATAAATAAATAGCATGAAAATTGATGTGATCTTGGAGACGAATGATATCATCTAGTTAGGAAAAAGACATGATTACATACAATAGTAATTAATTAATGGGTTTGGTTAACGAATGTGCTAGACATTGGATCAAATTAATTAAATTATTATTTTAAAAAAATTTACATTCAATGCTTTGTTTTTATTGACTTTAAGAAAAAAACAATGTATTAATTGTAGTAATTTTTTTTTTAAATCTCACCTTAATCAGTGCTTAGTGATATTGATTAACACTCTTTTTAATTTATAATAAAATTTTTTAACTTTACAACAAGGTAAGTGAATCTTCCCCTTAACCAAATTGATTATAGAAACAAATACATCGAATTCTGCTATGTTCCAGAAAAACCAAAAGAAAGATAAATAATGGTAAATACCACTTCAGTTCCCAGAGAAAGTAAGCTATATGCTTAAATTTCAACTTGTAAAATTCACCTGGGATTTTGAGAGTCCTCATCTCTTGAGTGTTTGAATTAACCTGACCAGTTTCGTTTCTTCATTCCAAAGTAAAATCCACCGTTGTTGTTAGCTGGTAATGGACGTTGGACATCTAAAACAGGTCCAGTTGGGAATAATTTTGTCCAAGATACTTTTAAACCTAGTTGGCCCAACACCCACACATCAAACCTTTTAACTGTATATCTCTTCATGGTTGGAACAAAAAAACTCTGGCAACGGATGCTTTCATTACCATGAATTGAGTAATCTAGCTTGTGGAGTAAAATTACCAAAAGTAGATCCTTTTATTATAAATTTAGAGTTTAACTCAGTTAATTTATATAATCATATTTAATAAATTTAAAATTCAAATTTTAACATCTATAATTCATTAACATATGTTTCTTTTATTAAAAGAATGATTAAAAGTGCAATCAAAAAATGATGTCTCAATTAAAATTTCATTGGCCATATCAAATGTAAGAAGAATTTCCATATCTGTTGTATCAAGAATAATCTATTCTCCTTTGGTTATAGCCCACTATGATAAGACCCATTTTAAGTAAACCTGAAAGTCTGACAATGATCCTGGGTAATCTTTGAATATAGGCTAACTGTTTAGGAAGGTTTCTCCAAGAATTAGTGCTTGGACTATGAACAGCGACTGCAATGAAGGTTTCAACTTGTTGGTAGCATGGTTCCAAATTACTATCATTATCGCTCCAAAAACAGATTATGCCATTATTGCAAGAATCCTGAATATGAATGTGCTAAGCAATTTTATCAAAGAAATTCGGAATTAGGTCGAGATGTTAAATTTCTCTGACAATCTAGTTAGAATCTCAAACATTACATTCTTAGTTAATTTGACAATAACAACAATTGAGTATTTTCGAATGTGCTTAACAAATTAAAAAAAATAAAAAGAGTAGAAGAAATAGATTAATCTCTTCATTTTTTTCCTTTCTATTTTTTACAATTATTTCAAAAACATGATTCAATTTACAAAAAAAAAAAGTAAAAATAAATTATTAAAAAAATGTGATATTCATCTAATTACAGGAATAAATCTTTGAGTATTTTTTCATGTATAATAATATTCAATTTGTTAATTTTACATAATTCATTGTATTTTATGATTATATATTACAAAAAACTAATCTAACACTAACATGTCAAGCAACCGTGGTTGGTGTTAATTTAACTTTTGACTATCAACAAATCAATTTTAATAAAAAAAGAAAATAAAAAATATAAGTAAAATCTATTATAATAAAATGTTAAATAAAAAATTTGATCATTTCGATATTGAGACATTTAATTTCTTTTGTTGCCTCAACATAATTGATTGATTAATAGTTCTTATTGAATTTCATTAATTGATTAAAATTAACAAAAGAATTTAAACTTATCTTGATAAAATTTGTAAAGTTGCATCCTAATAAATTAAGTACAGTTGTTAAGCTATATGCCGCGAAACATGCCATTGCCATTGGTATCCAATAGTAATAAAACAAAAGGAGCTTTTTGGTAATTTGACCATAAGCGGAGTTTTTAAGGTAATTCAATATTTCAAAAAAAAAAAAACACGAAAAATATTGGATTGTCATTATCTACTCCCCTTCATTTCCACTGCAACTTTAGCTTCGAAGAAAAAAATTTTATTTGATTTCTTTAGTTTTTTCCCTTTTTGGTCATTTCTATAATTTATCATAATTCACAATTAATCCACAAAAATACAAGTTCTAGTTTGCAGCAATTCTTGTTCATTAAACCTTAACAAAAACAACGCTAAGAGCCACTTGTTCATGGGTCGTCGCGAACTCTTGTCTGGATTATGTTCCACTGGCTCCCATAAAGACATCGTTTCTCACAAACCCATTTCCATTTTGAGGTTAGTTTCACATTTCCTTCGATAAATTCTGCTAATCTTTTATACCCATTTAGCTCTGTAGTTGTCTTTGCTTGGTGAAATTAATAAAGTTCACCTTTTTTTCTTATTGCTTTTTTTATTTCTTTGCCTCATTTTAATGTGGTTGTAATTTTTTCTAGTACTTATAAGAGTATATGTGCTTGTGTTTCATGTAAATGTATGTTTATTCATGTATGTGTTTATGTTTGTATCAATGTATCCGTTTAAATATACATAGAAGCATCATTATAATGTATGGGTGCATGTGTTTATCAATCAAAGCATCATTATGTATGTAAGTTTATATGTATCTGGTTATGCATGTATGTGAGCATGTATGAATGTCACTATATACAAATACACGTGTGTTATATTCATATATATATGTATACTTGCATATGAAAAATTTTCTGTTTTTCTTTTATTCAACAAAGTGAATGCTAGTAGTAATGGCCAAGATTGGTAATTTATGTACTTGTCATTGATGTTACCGAAAATGATTTCAACTTTCATTTTTTTCTTCAGTTCTCTTTGGAGTTATTATTATTATATTTTTGTTGATTGATGCTTTTAGGTTGGTTAATGAACGAATGGTGGATTTTGGGTGAACCAATAATAGGCAAAGTATTCCCTTTGCAATAAGGAGGGTGCTGCTAGCAAGTCTTTTTGCCTATTGGAGTTACCATTCTTCGAGGTACTTATCAGGTCTGCACATTTCAGCTTTGGTTTCCCCTTTGCCATTTTAAGAACTTGATTCATATGAATCGATTTTGTTGCTCAATGAAGTCTTCCTTGTTTTATTGATAATTTTATTTAAAAGATTGCATTATTATTGACAACTAAACTTACTGGTGTAAATGAGTTGAAATCTGGTGTCATCCATTTGAATGCACTTGCCAGTAAAACTTATAGCAGTAGTAAACCGGCCACTACAGATTGGTGGGCAGCTGAGCCTTCATTTTTTTTGAAAAGGTGCAAGAAATTAATAATTGGAAGCCACGCTGTTGAAAGGATTTGGTGTAGGTGGCCACTTCAAGTTAATATTATTCCTTCGTTCTTACTATCTCTATACTTTTAAGCAATTTGCTTCTGATGATGGGGTACATTGTGGATTTGCAGCTCAAGCATTGGGGGATCCATCAGTGACGGTTGAAGATGTAACTCCTCCTGTTTTCCCTTCTGGAGCTCTCTTCCCTTCTGAAGTTCATTTTCGATAAATCATTGTTGTTTTGGAATTCAGTGATTAGTTTATAGTTCCAAGCTCTTCTGTACTGGTATTTGTCATGTGTTAAGCTTATACATGTGAATTTGACAGGAAAGAACTGTCCAACTCTTTGAAAAGAATAGATACTCTGTTGTCAACATTTTTGATATAACATTGTGCCCTCAACTTAATATAACTGGTGCTGTTGAGGTATTTTTCTTATTTTCATTTGATCAATCATTTTCTGTAATCTTCTAATTCATAGAGGCAAGCTTGTGATAGAGGAGGCTAAGAAACTCTTTTTCTCATCTATACACTCAGAGCTATCTGCGTTAACTTTAAAATGCTCTCATGCTTATTAACTCATCTAAGGGTGCTGAAACATTATGTTTACTGGCAGATTCCAGAAGGAAATGGTTCTGGTGTTGTCTGGGATCAGCATGGACATATCGTGATAAATTATCATGGTAAGAGCTAATAATGAACCCAAAATACTATATGTTGATCAAGGACATCAAGAGTTCCAGTAAGCTATCTGTTTCCATGGCATGATTATTTAAGGAATCTCAATTATATGAGAATCCTAGTTGATGCCTAATTGAAACATCCCCCTATGTAATGTTAATCTATAATAAATGTCAGCTATATCAGATTAATATTCTTCCTTTATATTTTTCTTCTATAAACTTTCCTGTCTCCTCTTTTGTTATCTTTTCTAGGTTAACTATTCTGTTTTCCATGTTCAGTGATAGGTAATTCCCTTTCAAGAAATCCAAGTCCTAGGCAAATTGTTCCACAAGTTAATATCCTAGCATCAGAAGGGTGCAGTGCCCTTAGCCTTTGCTGGTAAATTAAGTTGCATTATCTGGTATTAAGTTTTTGACTGCTGCAGCAGTTTCTCTGATTGTTTAACTGCTGTTTTATAGGGTACAAAAAAATTTTGAGGATAAGTTGATTGGTACTGATTGCACTAAAGACCTTGCTGTTTTAAAGGTAAGTTGTCCTTTGATTTTCCTGTAAAGTACTGCCTGAACTGCATCATTGGTTGGTCTGATTATATTACAAGCTACACCAATATATGCTTACCTTTTTGTTAGACATATTCAATCAATTTGAAACTGGAAATTCAGATCTACAGTCTAAACAAGTAGACCATTGATTCTAGTTTAGTAGAATTAATTAAAAAGGTATGTGTAACCATCTTTAATTGTTTACACAGATTTAAGCTGATCATAACTTGTGCATATATGCATGCTCACATGGTTGCACATTAATTTAAGAACTAGTCTACTCTCACAAGAGAAGTTTTGCAGGCCTACTTATATCTGAGCTTCAATTTTTATCACTAATTGTTTAATGAATAATTTTAACATAGAAACTGCAATTTCCTAAACAATGAGATGAAGAAAAATATCTGTACTAACTCAAAATTAGAAACAAATGCATATCTTCTTTGTACCAAAATGGAAAAAAAAAATCTATATTACTTGTAATAGCATAGACTTGATCCATTTATCCATCCAGCTAATGCTGTTCTTATTGTGCATATACTCTGTAGTATGCTAATTTGCTGAAAGTTTATGAGCAACTGGTTCTGATCTCTTCAACATGCTAGGTAGAAGCCTCTGAAGATTTGTTGAGGCCAATTAAGGTAGGGCAATCTTCTTTTTTAAGAGTAGGACAGCAATGTCTAGCAATTGAAAATCCATTTTGTTTTGATCATATACCCTTACGGTTAGAGTTATTAGTGGATTGAATCGAGATATTTTTAGTCAAACTGGATTGACGATGGGGGTGGAATTCAAACAGATGCAGTCATAAATCCAGGAAACAGGTTCACCAAATGATTTGTCTAATCCTCAGTATCCTTCTTGAAACTTTAAAGTTAATGTCTTTAAACAAGTTCTTCACTGCTTGTTATTTCTTGGCTTTCTTTATTTGTTGCAGTGGAGGTCCTCTTTTGGATTCAATAGGAAACCTGATTGGGATTAATACATACAGCTATATTCACACAGACAGGTCATTTTACAATCCGTTTTTTAGTTGCATATGTTGTGCAATAATCTGAAACAAAATAGTTATCGAATATTGATTCTATCTTGATGAGAAGATATATTTCATGATTGGAAGCTTCCCTTGGCCAAAAATAATAGTAGTAATAAAAGCTTGCAGCTTCCTGTGTAATGCCTTCTGATTTTGTTATTTGTATTTCAGGTGCATCAGCAGGTGTAGAATTTGCCATCCCATCCTCCATAGTGCTAAAGATTGTACCTCAACTGATCCAAGTTTGGCAAATTATGTTTCATTACTATATATAAATCCAAGGTCAAGTTCTTGGTCTCCTCTTATTTTCTGATCTTTGCTATCCCCTTTTTGCCTCTACTTCTCAATAAAGATCTTTTACTTTCACCTTCTCTGCATTTTAACCATCAGTACAATCATGATTATGCAATATTTGGGGGTAAAAGGATGGGTATTATTACTAAGAGTTGAACATCTGAACAACTTTAACCTATTGTTACCCTGAATAAACAAGCTCTACTACTTCATATATCATTGTTCATCCACTGTCAGGCTGTTCGAGCAGGTTTGAATATTGAAATTGCTCCCAACCTGATTGCTAATCAACTTAATGTTCGAAATGGGGCCCTTATCCTTCAGGTATTCCAAATTTAGTTTGAACTTTTAAAGTGCAACCATCTTTTCAATAACTTAGAGATTTTATTCTGTCAATAGGCTGTTGCTTGTAAAATATTTATAACTTTCTTACATTTACTACATGTTACTTTAGGTTCCTGGTAACAGTTTTGCAGCCAAGGCTGGGCTACTCCCCACCACCAGAGGTTTCGCTGGTAATATTATGCTTGGTGATATCATCATTGCAGTTGACAACAGACCTATGAGTTTTCTCTTAAATTTTTGTCCTTCTAGTGTACTCAGCATGTTAAATTCCGTTCTGGTTTCATATTCTTCCAGTTGAGCAAGATATGAGCTATTGTACAAATTAAATTGTGATTTTGTCAGCTTGGGGTGCCAAATCATGTTTGAATAAAGTGCTTTTGATTCATGTGCATCGCATTCAATGATTCAATGCAGTTATGAATATGACATTCGATATTTTAAAATACTGTTGTTTTCTCTTTTTGCAACCTGTCATCAGGTTAAAAACAAAGGAGAGTTATACAAAGCTTTGGACGAATACAATGTGGGAGAAAAGGTAATCTTAAAGATTCAAAGGGGCGAGGAGAGTTTGGAGCTGCCTGTAATTCTAGAGGAAATAAGTTCATGACTGGGCCTCCCAACATCTCTTTTAGGATGATTCACATGTACAAAAATCCCAAGTTGAAACTCCCGTAATTTTTCGATTTCCCATGTTTATGAAGCAGGATTATTAAACTTGTGGGAATATATGGCAAAAGAGAGGAGCAATTGAACACAAATGTTGTCAGTTCATGTCTTCATTGTAATCGTTTGATTCTTGATAATCCCCATTTTATTAAAAAAGGATGGGGTGCAAATACATTGTTAATTATAAACATGATATTAGATCAGACAATTTGTGTATCATGTCATGTTTGTTTTATGTTAAATATGCGTAAAACACGAAAATTATCATTATAATTTATATTGACATATTAAATGAAAAACATTTTTTTTTTGTTTTGTTACTCATATAATTTTTACTAAAATTTTAAATTATGATATTTTTAATTTTTTTATCAATTTAAATCATGTTTTGGTATCATATTTTAAATTCTTTTGTCTTCTATATCACTCATGTTGTGATTGGATATTATCTCGTACGGTTTGTCTAGTAGTGATGTCTTCATCAATAAATCTTTTATAATCATCTTTCTCTCTTAACTATGATAAAAATTTATTTTTTCTCCTTTTGTTGTCAGCTTTTTTTGATTTGCTATCTTGACAGAGTTTCATCATACTTTTTTGTATTATACCTATTAATAATATAGTTAAAAAAAAAGAAAAAAAATAGTTATACATGCTTATATAATTTTATAATTTTTATTAAGAAATTAATAATAATATTTTCAAAGGAATTATAAAAATATAATATACTAGTAACATTGGGGCATGGTGCAACATTGCCAGTTTTATAAGTAATATGTTATTTGAAACGGTTATTCTTCTTTTTACAATTTTATTACAAAGTTTACATGAAACATTTCCTCTTGTATTTGGCACAAGTGTTCCAAAATGCCAACATATATCATCACTTGGTACGCCCTTTGCTCCTTTATTTTGGAACTCTTCACGTTGTGGCATATTTGCTATTTTGTATAAAAACAAAATAAACTTATATTTAAAAATATTAATATTACTTATTACATCATTAAAAATTGATTTTACACTAAAATTTTAATTTTTAGTTTTAATCTTAAGAATATTATTAAATAATTTAATCTTTTTAATATACTAATAGATATAAATTTTTTATCACATTTAACTTTCAATAATTATATAATAAATACAATCTTCAATAATTACACAAAAATAACAAGAATTAATCTAATATAAAAAGAATTAATAACAATATAAATATCAAAACAACAAAAAAAATATTAAAATTCAGATACAAATTTATAAATTAATATATAACACAATCAAAATATAATATTTAATTTTAATTATTTTTCATCTAACTTATACAAAAAAATTTATCAAAAATTTTCATCTAAAATCTTTATATATATCATATTAAATTATTAATCCCTTAATTTTTTTTAATTATAAATCTTCAATCTCTCTAATTAGATTTTATCTAAAAAAATTTCAAAAATTAAAAATTTTCAAACTTATATTTTAATAAAATTTTCAAACCTATATTTTTTATTTTTTAGTTTTTAATCTTAGTAAGAGGAATAGATCATAAAATGTTAAATTTATTAAATAACTTAATCTTTTTGATACACTACTTGATATAAAATTTTTTATCATAAATAACTTTCAATAATTATATAATAACTACAATCTTCAATAATTACATAAAAATAACAAGAATTAATCTAATATCAAAAGAATTGACAACAATATAAATATCAAAACAACAAAAAAATAATAAAATTCAGATACAAAATTATAAATTAATATATAATACAATCAAAATATAATATTTAATTTTAATTATTTTTCATCTAACTTATACAAAAAAATTTATCAAAAATTTTCATCTAAAATCTCTATATATTATATTAAATTATTAATCTCTTATTTTTTTAATTATAAATTTTCAAAACCTCTAATTAAATTTTATCTAAAAAAATTTTAAAAATTAATTACAAAATTAAATAAAAAATTCATCTCTTACCTCCCAACACCCCACCACACCCAATCCCTCCTCACGTGCTTGCCTTAATGTCTCTCAATTTGTTTAATTATAGCAAAATGATAGAACCATCTAGAACTAGCTTGCTCTCTTCTGTTCATCTTCTTCGCGCCTCCAAAGCTTTGCTTTTCAAAAATTTCTTCTTCTCTCTTTTTTTTTTTTTCATTTCAGCATTTTCTCTCGCATCTTTTCATCATTATTACTTATCAAGTACACCTCATTCATCTCTCTCAAGTCTTAAACTCTCACAACAGACATCATTTTACAAAAATTTTGTAAAAAAAAAATAATAATTTAACTTTCTTTTCTTACCTTATTTGATCTTGAATGTTGATTGAAAACTTGATGCTGATTTGAATTTGGGTATCGAAATGCTGATTGAATGGTTGAAACTTGAAATAATTCGTTTGTTTTCTGGCTTGTTCTCAGAGTAATTTTGATGCTACAGATATGAGAGTTTGAGTTTTATTTTTTGCTTTTGCTTTTACTTTTACTTTTGTAGGTTTATTGCTTTATTCTACAGAGTTGAAAACTTGAAATTTTGTTTTTTTCTTGAATTATTAGATCTGTGAGTAGAAAAATAAAATAACGGTAATAACGGACCGTTATTACCGTTATTCTCCGTTACGCCGTTATTTGCGGCCATTGCATTTTGTTTTTATCGTGAATAAATTTTTCAACTATGTTTTATCTAATAACGATAACGAGTGATGATACTACCGTTATTTTACGATTATTATTCTACTTTTAAACCATTATTTGAATCTTTGGCTCGGAGTTCTTCAAATTTTCAATATATGGAGGGATGGGACCTTCAAGTTGGTTATTTTCAAGGCATCGAGTTGCCAAATTGGTTAATTGGTACATAGCCAAATTAAAATGTCAATACTTGTAATTTTTCTTATTTTTAAATTAAGACTCCTAATGCTTTTATTTTTGTTTTCGAGATCATTCACAAATACAAAACAAATTAACTGGTAATTGAATATTAAATTTGATTGTCAACGACAATATTTTTAATCGAAATCATGTTGTTAAAGTAAAGGTAAAAAATAGCCGAAATAAGTCAATAAAATACATAAATAACCGAATTGTAATTGTTTAAGCTATCACTCCTACTTTATAACTAGCATCATGCCATCAAATTGCTCAATCATGCAAGGGGCCGAACTTTGATAGGAGCACGAGGATAATCACTTTGTCTTATTATGAATATTTTTATAATCCTATAGTCGCAATAACTTGATTGCTTTCTCATAAAGTTAAAACTCAAATCTTATCTTTTTTTTTATTGTCAATGAAAAGCTACTAAACATCATTTGAACTAAAACTTGAATGGTACCTAATTTAGAATTACAATACTCTTCGCATAATTAAAAAAAAAAAGAGAAATAATTAACCCATGTTGTTTAATTAATTAATTAGTTGTCTTAGACAACAAAAAACTCTTCGCATTAATTTTTTTGGTAGCTTGAAATTTTTTTAATATTAGAAATTGTTAAAATTTAAGTTTAATTATTAAAATTAAAAATTTAACATTTTATCAATATATTACTCAATGATTGGCCTGATTAACTAAAATTAAAATGTTGTTAACTTTTATGTTCTAAAAAATCCAATTAAAAGGAGAATGCCATTATGATTGTGAAGTTTAAAATTCCAACCAGATTGTTTCGAGAGTGTAAACAAAAAGGAAAAGACAACGCAAAATCAAAATTGCACAAATATAGTTAAATTACGTGGGTTGTCTGTAGAGTCTAGACCCATTTGGCCCACAAGAGATGAGATGATTAACAAAATTATCCAATTAATTTAAGATTATTAAATGCATTAAATTAATCAATAAATAACAGCATGAAAATTGATGTGATCTTGGAGACAAATGATATCATCTAGTTAGGAAATAAAAACACATGATTACATATGGTAGCAATTAATTAATGGGTTTGGTTAACGAATGTGTATAGACATCGGTTAAAATTAATTAAATTATTATTTTTATAAAATTTTATATTTAATTCTTTGTTTTTATTGAATTTAAGAAAAACGATACATTAGTTGTAATTTTTTTTTTAAATCTCACCTTAATCAGTGCTTAGTGGCATTGATTGACATTCTTTTTAATTTATAATAAAATTATTTAAATTTACGCTAAAGTAAGTGAGTTTTCCCCTAATTAAATTGATTGTAGAGGCAAATACAACGGATTCTGCTCATGTGCTAGAACAACAAAAAAGAAAGATAAATAATGGTAAATATCACTTCAATTCCCAGAGAAAGTAAGCTATATGCATAAATTCAACTTGTAAAGTTCACCTGGGATTTTGAGAGTCTTCATTTCTTGAGTGCTTGAATTAACCTGATCAGTTTTCCCTTTTCATTCCCAAAGTTTGTGAATAATCTTCTCCAAGATTCTTTTAACCAAGGTGACCTAACACTCACTGATCAAACCTTTTGTCAATGTACCTATTCATGGTTGGAAAAAAAAAAATCTGGCAACAAATCATTTCATTGCCATGAATTGAGTAATCTGGATTGTGGAATAAAAATTATCGAAAACAGATCCATTTATGATTATAAATTTAGAATTTAATTCAGTTGGTTTATATAATTATATTTAATTGGTTTGAAATGTAAATTTTAGTATATGTAATACTTATCTTATGCTTCTTTCCCACCAAAAAGGGAAAAACCCAAAGCACCATCAGAAAATAATGTCTCAATAAAAATTTCATTGGCCATATCAAATGTAAGAAGAGTCTCCATATCAATTGTATAAAGAATAACCTATTCTCCATTGGTTATAGCCCATGAATGATAAGACCCAGTTAAGTAAACATGAAAGTCTGGACCCTGGATTATTTTTGAAAATAGGCCGAATGTTTAGGAAGGTTTCTTCAGGAATCAGTGCTCGTACTATGAACATCGACTGCAATGAAGGTTTCAACTTATTAGTAGCACGGTTCCAAATGACAATATTATTGTCACTCCAAAGACATATTATGCCATTAATGCAAGAATCCTAAATATGAATGTACTGAGCATTTTTATCTAGGAAGTTCAGAATTACGCT